ACCCTACACAAACACAAGTGTGGATGTATGGCCAAATTTGGGGGTTGAGGTGTTAAAGTCTAGAGATGTGGTTTAACTTTAGAAACTCACAGGTGGCAAGCATTTTGCTTCCTGAAATCACTACCTCAGAGACCCTTAATTTCTTGTGATGGTAGCTGTGCTGGATGCAGACCAGTCACAAGCTTTGCCTAGATGATGATCACACTGATATGCCAAAGCATAACCTGTGTTCTGTATCCTCAAATCACTAAGTGTCCCCAGTAAACAGCAATTCCTTTAGAATTAATTCTAAGCAATGTCTCACAGCCCCCCCCCCCCAGCAAATACTGTCAAATACTGTATTTTCGCTTTATAACAAATAATAAATTTTCTCCATTAACCTTATGGCTAAAAAAAAAATGCAGTTAGTGATATGAAAGGCCTAATGAGATTATAATCATTAGACTGCCTGCTGTATTACAATCATTCCTAATCGTGTGACATGTTGCAATTGAACTATGGCACACTCCCCCCGTGTAGTCCAGAGATAAAATACACTCTCTTCAGGAGAGTCTGAAACCCAGCAGCACAAGATTCACAAATCTTGTATTCCAAAATACACTCTAGCAACTAAAAGGCTGCATGTCCAAACAGAAAACTGCATCAGACTGTTGGTAACACAGACCTATAGCATGGAAACACCTCAGCACCCGTAAAAACAGTCACATCAGAAAACCAGCACAAACTCCATCCTGTTTGGATTCTACATACATTTATGCATTCTGCATATATCGCATTGTGGAAAGCAAATATACAGTCAGAGTAGTTGGATGTGGGCACAAAAACTGGCAAACATCCAATAAATGAAGCTCCTGGAAATTCTCTGCCTGTACTGCAGCCACCCTCCTTCTAGTTTTCAGTCCAGACGATGCCCTTTTCAAAGGCTGCCTGTGTCATCTTTCGGATATTCACAAAGCAGTGCTATAGAGCAACACAAGGCACATTCCCAGAAATGATCTTCTACTTCTGTTTCGCCTGCTTAGGTGAATCTGATGGTCACAACAACAGCTTTCCTGCAGGATTCTGCCACGTGACAACCTTGCATGCTTGCCTGTATTTTGTGTTTGCAGCCAGAAGCCAAAGATCCCATTGGATAAAACAATGGACATGTGAAGCTTTAAACCTTGCAGAACAGAAAAAGCACAACATATTTTGCAAAGCAGAGTATTGCTACATTTGCCAAATGTCTTTCCCCTAAAAATTTTTGCTGTTTTAGTTGAAGATACTTTCCACATGTCTTTCTACTCAGATGCAGGTTAGCTACTGTTTTAAACATTGTTTTCAAGGGTGGAAAACTGTGTGTTTAATACTCCCCCGAAGAACCTTACAATAGCTGTAACCTTTAAATTCAATGCTGTAAAAACTGACAGCATCTGACTCTTCTTCTACAGCATGACAGAGTTCAAAGAGTTGAGCACAGACAGCAGTTTTTGTTTTTGAGGACAAGAAGATGAAAATCACCTCTGCATAGTTAAAAAAAATACAAATAGCAAAAAAGCTTGTCTATTTGCACTATCAGAAAATAGGCCAAAACCTGAAAAAATATGAAAACTCAGCTCTCCTTGTTTCTAGATACAGTCCTTCTAGCTCAAATCACACGTATGTCAGATGCAGATGAAGACTTGCTTCCCACCTCTTTTCTATGGGCAATTGAGAATTTTAGTCTTCAACTAATGAATCCTGCTACTAGTAAAAGGTTACACAAAGTGACAACAAAAAAGCAAGAAGAATTAATGAAGCATAAAACCCAATTATTTTGAATCCTTTGTCACTGCTTATAAATGCTTTATTTCTTACTACAATACACTAATCTTTTAGTGAAGCATAGCCCTACTGTAGGTGGCTGGTGGGTTGGAAAGGTTATTCAAGCGAGATTAAGTGTACTTGGTAAAAAAATGTTGAAACATTTGCCTTTCCTCTCTACCATATAAACAAAATTCCACATGGGAACAAAGAAAGCAATTCCCAGCTCTGTTCTGAGCAAGCAAAGGAGGAGTGGTGTGACTCTCCCTCTCACTTTAATGGGACACCAACACATCTTCTCCCACTCCTCAGGTTTACAGAGTCCAAAAACCTTGTGTTGATGGAAGCCTGAAATACAATTTCTCATTTAGGGCACCAAGCTGAATCTAAACACCACGTAAGACTTACTTTGGTACCTTTGGTTTTTCTGACTGCAATGTGAGTTTGCACACTAGATAGCCTTTAATGTAAAACAAAAACTTTTACTTCTCCCATACTTGTTTCACTGGTTTTTGCATGCCTGTTTGGCTACAAGATCCACAAACTGATCTGTATTAAAGGCTAATATAAATGAACATGTTGGATAGCATAGTAAGACCAAATCTGCACAGAATGACAGTTGATGCTGAGGAACTGACATCCACACTCTGTAAGTGAAGATGAAACAGAAGGTGGTGTGCCAGACAAGCTGTAGTGGACTGAATGCATATTAGCTGTAGGTAGAATATTTTCCAGTTTACTTTCATCCCAATTTAATCCAACTCTCAAACTTCATTTCATGGTGCAAAGCAAGGTACAGTAGGCAGACGCAATCAGAAGCTTCACTTCAAAAGCACCTTCCTTACACAAGCTATAATGCTAATGTAGATTCAACCACAACTACCACAATTCTTTCAAGAGTGTTAAGGCTCTCCAGATGGAAAATAAAGGCTAGAAACCAACCAGCATTTCACATGGAAAGAGCGCTCCAGCTCATTTCATTCAGCACCAAACCATTCTCTGGATTCCCACTTTTCTATTTTTGTTAAATCATCATAAAGGGATGTGTGAGGCTTGGTTCCTGACTAACAAACTCAGGAGGGAGGCATGGGGCCCAGTGTAGCCATGTTTAGTAGCAGATGATAGAGGAACAAGATTAAGCACCTAAATGTTTTCCCAGACAGGGGGTACAGGGCAGAGAGATTAAAGAATACAGGATACCTGGCAGAGAGATGAGAGAATACAGGATACCTAACACATTCCCAGTAGTAAGTAAAAATGTCTATTCTGAACTGCTGAAAGTAGAAGCAAAGCTGTCATGGCTCTGAGATGCCTTCAGGAGGAACATGGCCCCTAGTCATCCTCTACTTCTCAGGTTAAAAATGGGACTTTTGCGTTAAGTATCACAATTTATCTCACATCTGATCTTCTCATTAAAAATGGCCCAGGCAAATAATGTTTTAAACATTTCCCTATGTGTGGTTATTTCCAGTTGGCAGGTATGGGTAAATGATACCATGACTTGGAACTAATTTCAAATCATGTTTAGAATAGATCTGCTAAAGTGTTTTTTCTCCATTGCAGAAAGGACCTTTTCATGTGTCACCAATATTTTCACAATGATATTTCACTGAGCATTCTTCTTTGGTCTGTCACAGAACTCACATGTAAGAGACATAAATGAAGCAACGAAGGGCACAAGTCTGCAAAGACTAGTTATTTAGGTTGTATTTTAAGCAAATTTAAGACTGACTAATTACTCTGGGTGCCTTACTTGAATTACTTGCAAGGGCCTCATTTTCAAAGGGCCCATAAAACAGACCCCTCTTAGGAATCACAAGTTTGGCCAGCCACACTTCGAAGAAAGCCAGTACTGAACGTAACTTAATACAGTATTTGCATACATATCCACTTAAAGCAGGAGACCACAAAGAAGTCAGGAACATTTTCTTCTGGGAAGCATTAGTAAAAGGACACAGCCACTGGGACACTAGTCTTTCATCCAAAAGCAAGTAAGTGTATTCTGTAAAAGCACGTATATGAGTTTCCTAGGTAAAAATAAGACAGGCATGATGTACTATATCCAGACAGGACAGTCTTTCCTTTTTGGTTTGGTAATAGAATTTTAAGTAGGGGTCCCAGAAACATCTTGCACATGTCACTACCTTCCAGACAGCCACTTCAGCTGACAGGTTCTCTTCATTCAGAGAGAGAGCTGACAGCCTAACCTTACACCTTTAGCAAAGTCTAAGTCACATCACTGTGTCATATTACAATGTGCACCCCAGAAATAGAAGGAATGAGAAACTCATTACTACACTGTCTTCAAATAAGGTTTGTGAAATGGGGGAGGGGGAAAGTTTTTGAAAGAAGAAAACATACCTGATCTATTGCCTTTTACTAAAACTGTTAAGTGAAACTGAGACAACCTCAAAAATAAAACACTTGCTCTTTGGTCTTGCTTCAAGTTGTTACCTGTAAGTCATCTAGTTCAGAGGTACTGAAGCATGACAAAACTATTTGTCAGATATCTTTTTGCATGTTGGGGGGAAGAAGGGGGATAAAACAAAAAAATACCTTCTCCAACACTAACCTGACAGTCAATTTATTAAAGCTTGGCATTAGGGTATATCCTATGTGTCCAACCAGACAAGTAAAAGTTCCCTGGCTCTGCAGATTTTGTCTTCCCCTGCAGGAAGGAGACTGGCTGATGCCCATAGGGCTCCTTCTAGCTATGTTTTCTAGCTACAAACATAAAACACGGCCCCTTGGTGGTTAAGATCTTGTAAGCACTGCCTGTTTTCACTTGGTTTATGGAATATGTACATACAAAGTTACAACTGCCTCAGAGGTCTGGGGAGCTGACAAACAAGAACAGAAACTGCAGAGGCAGGAAGCCTGTTAAAAGAGTGATTACCAGCATGTGTGAAGTATATAGGGGACTTCTAACATAGCATGTTCTCCAGAAGACTCTTCTCTACTGTGATCAAATATAAACATTGTTTTGGAGTACAGTTACACTTGGAGCCATTACTCTCTTCCTCAGTATCAGAGGTGGCCCATACCTAGAGTACCAATACTTCAGAAGGACCAAGTTGGGTGGGACAGGGTGGGGCCCTTATATATGATGTTTTTCATCTAGAAACAGAGAATCTGATCTTTCAAATCATATGTGAAACCATTCTCCACTCAAAAACATGCATAAAAACACCAAGACAAAGAGTTTAAGTGATACTTACGCGGCATGATCCCTTGGCTCACCAGCTCCTCCCGTGTGCGTCGCTGCTGGAGCTTCAACTGCAGCACTGCACGACAGCAGAGAGAGGGAAGAGAAGGAAACCCATCAGTGTGAGAAACAACTGAAGAGACATTTTCAAGTGCATCTTGTTTTCTTCTTCGGATGCCAAGGCGCTAGCGAGCAGCAGAACAAAAAGACCCCCTCCCACCCTGCTCCCCTGCACCACTGCAATTGCAGAAGTGGCCTTCAGCAGTCAGGTTTCCGTATTCTGCTGCGGGCAACAGGGAGAGGAAGTTGCGCAGGGTCTTGGCAGGGTGATAAAAATCCGCAAAACCAAGCTTGTTTCTCAATTCTTTCTAGAGCACCAACTTCTTTCTAAACCATTAATATTAAAAAAAAAAAGAGAAACACCAGCTGACAGTCCTCCAATAAACACAGAGTGACACCCCAGCTGCTAATGACTCCTGAAAACTCTAATTACCATGTGTAGATTAAATTGATATGACAAAATTATTGGTCATTACTCTAAATTACAAGGCTGATTTCCTTCCTCAACTCAGAAATTCACCTTCAGAAACATCTCTTGAAAGTGAAATATCATAGATATATCTAGAAGTGTCCTTGTTCCACAGCAAAAGGAATCCCTTATCACTAGAATTTTTCCTATTTATTTTAAAGTAATAGAACACATGCACTGCCTGTATGAAATGCAATTATGACTCTGGAATAGTCATAATTTCAACATTTAGATTATAACAGCAGTTTCCCTTTAAACTACACAATCAAAGCAATATTCTAGAGATTGTTCTTACAACCAGTAAAAGACAGCTTTCACACGAAAGGGACCTTACAAAACTGAATAAAAAAATCACATGCACATGTGCACGCACATGTGTGTGCACACATCAATTTAGGACAACCTGAGTGAACATCAATAGATACCGAATCCTGTCTGCAATCAAGCCCAAGCTCCTAAGTATACTCAACAGAAAATATTATAGAATGAACGGCATGGCATCTTCCCTGTTTTCATTTCAATTTCTCTGTCAAGCTTATGTCCGTTGTATAGTCCACATAAAAGAAGTCCACACAAACATAGTGGAACCACCAGACAGCAAAAGTGTGCAATCTCATTAGAACCCTTATGCTTCCTTTCTCAAGGACTTTTCTTGTCCAATACGTTCATTTCATACATTATATCCAAATTATACTGTACAGTCCCTAAAGTAGGGATCAAAAAATTCAAGGAGAAGATACCACTTCATCTGCTTACACACATTATCACATTTTACCTGTTTCTTTCAACCTCTTGTCTGCAGTTTGCATTTGACTAAGATACATCTTCCAATAAGGGTTCTGGTCTTCCTATGAAGTTAACAAGAGATCCATCTCTTCCTTGGTTGTTTGCACAGCAGCTAATCACCCTCACTTAAATGCACACTTAAATTTTCGGTTGGATTTGTCTAGCTTCCAATTCCCTTGGCTCTTGATGTACCTTTCTTTGAAAGGTTTATGACAGTGAGAATGTATTTCCTACCTGTGGAGGTACTTCTGTACACAGTGTGCAACCAAGTTACCTCTCTTCTCTTAAGAGTTACCTCTCTCTTAAGCCAAACTAGGATTTCTTAATATATGCACCCTGGGCAGGAAACTACTTCCTTTAGTACGGGAAAGGGAGAGAGGGAGGAAGGGTGTACAGAGCACCATGCGAATTCTGTGTGGGATCAGCCAAGAGCCAGAGCAAGGAGGAGGGAAGACAGAGGGGAAGGAACAGACCCTTCGTTTGGCCGTGAAACAGAAGTGGTAGTCCCAGACTCTTCCTCCCACCCAGCATGCGATTGCACTCCTACTTCTGTACTAGCATGAGGGCTAATACAGTCTCACAGCTGGCCTCTTCACAGAGCTTTTCATTTGCTGGATTCGTTTTGAGGTGATCAAAACCCAAATCAGGTGATGACACATCTACACGAGCACTTGATCTAACAGCTTGCTGTGATGGAGTCAAATCTCTCTCTCCCCGCATCATCTCTCGTGTTCCCCTGATTGGTGGCTGGGCTCACTGACAGGACAGAGACCACAGCCCAACCAAAACAGGGAATAGTTTTTTGTCTCATTAGTGAGTTGAAGAGGACAACTGTATAGCCAGGTATTTGCTAACACTAACATAAGGTGGGAGTGAGACTTCATCCTTCCAGCAGCAGTATGCCACTAAGTGATTTCAGCCCTATTAGGTAACGGCACATTAAATCTCTTGCTGTGTGGCATTATTTCCACTAGTGAGCCATTTCAGGGACTCATTTCCATACCCTAAATTAGCACATGTCACTAAATGTATACAGGCAAGGCACAGACCTATAGCATCAGGTCTATCTCCACAGCTTTAAGTGCAGATAATCTCATTATTACTCATGTCTTCCCACTTACACAGCTAGCAATATATGTTAGCTCTTTTTGCCACTTTGCTATTTACTTGCTAGGACCATCTACTTTCCCTCCCATTTCCGACTATACCTACTATTTACCTTTCACCTCCCAGACTCAGGGATTTTCAGCGAAAAACTTCCCCACACAGGTGTGGCTGGCATTTTTTGCTCCTTGGTGCATAACTCTGCCCTCACCTCTATTTATGCACATTTTGCCCAACTGTCTCAGTTTGCCTAAATGATCTAAACCATTTTTTTAATGTCATTATTTATGCCTCCACTAATCGTTGTTCCGTCCACAGCGTTACCATCTTGCGTTTGTTTCCAGACCGCACCGGGCTGATCCCAACTCGAAATGCTTTTCTGCTTTCTTTGATTACAGTCAGTTCTTAAGCCACTTAAGCAGTACTTCATTAAATTCAAAGATACTTTTTAAAACCAAAATATAACACACTACTATTTAAAGACCTTATGAAAGTCTATTACACCGAGAAAAAACCGCTAGCAACCAAATTTCACATATCCAAACAACAAAATCACATTTGAACAGACCTGTTTTCACAAATTGAAAAGCTCACTAGCGTGATTATACTACTATTATTACACCATCTAAATTCTTTATCAAATTTTCCACAGTTTTTTCCTGGAACTGTTACCAGATTGGCCACTCTTTACTCACTCACCCTTTTTCAGTAGTGATGCAAAATGTTACTGGTCTTTCGCTCTACTGAAGTCTCCCTGCTGTTCCCAGGTTTATTAGAAATCAGTCTCAGCCAGACAGATAGAGACTTCATCAAATGACGTAAAATTCCCTTCCTGACTTCAGCTTCCCTTATGAATTTTCTAAATATATCTTATTTCTATACGTTACCATCTACTACCCTTTTTCTCTACCCATTATATGCACCTTTTATTTTTAAACACTATGTCCCTTCACAGCAAGAAACTAGCAACTGTCAAGAGGACTAAACTGGAGAATAGGAAAAAGGTCATTTTCAGGATACTTTTAATAGGCACTAAGTAATTCCTGGGATTTATGAATGTATATACATACATATTAAGCACAAATTATAATCAGCACATAATGCACTTTTTTTCCAATACAGTTTATTTTTGCGGCAGGGAGGAGGGCAAAAAGGATTACTTCAGTTCACTCCTGAATTCATTTTGGCTTCAATAAGTACTTGGAGTTCCCAACACCATTTCATATATTTAGGAGATCACCTGTTTACGTGTGCAAGTGTGTGAATCCTATATATAGATTAACAGATGTCCCAAGAGCCAATCCAAGGCTGTTGTACATGGAGCACAGCCAAAGATCTAGAATGACCAGAGAAATTAAAAGTTACTCAAAGACAGACCGGAGTGTAAGTCTTTCAGTCACAAACCAACAATCTTCTGTTTCCTTTATTCCTCTACTTAACCTTTAAATTAATTTTCAAATTAGGAATAAATCAGATCATATAAAGGAGAGAGATCTCTGCTGGCTAGAAAATAAGTTCCAAACTGGTACCCTTCTACCCACCTCGTTCATTCAACTTGTGTCATAGTCTGTGCAACATTTTGTGGGCTTTGTATGCTTGCCTGATTTTCCCACCCGAAAATGGGCATAATTTATTTATTTCACAAGTATGAAAAATTCTGAAATATAGTTAAAGTTTGAACAAGTATCTCTAATGAACTGTTCCAAGAATTAGTAAAACATTCCAGAGAAGTCTGGGAGCTGGTAAAGAGGACTGCTGTCAGCAGTTTAAGAGGAGGGATAGAGAAGAAATGGGTGTGTGTGTGTGTGGGTGTGTGTGTGTGTACACTAAGAGAGCAGCTACATTGCGATACAGCTACCATCAACAGAGTTAGACTGTTAGTGAAATACAGCAAGTCATGATTATTTTTTGTTCGTCTTACCACAGAACTGCCTTAACAGGGAACCCACAGGCATATTCCAAGACCAGAGCTTACTCCTGCCTACTCGTGGCTGGTGGCAGCTCAGAGCAGTACATGCTTAATATACAGAGGCTGCACCCATATGGACACTTTCAGAACACTTACAACTCTAGTCATAGTACAGGGGTGCATTAGTAGTAAGCAGTAGCAAGAACAAATATTTATGATGAGCTAAAGTGTTTTTTGCAGCTCATCATCTAAGTCTGCAACAGCACGCCTGCCCTTACACATATGTACCTGAAAGCCCTTCTATTTCTAAACCACACTTCGTGTTTAACAGTTTGACTAGAACTACAACAGAAACTAGACTGCAGACTCTGCATCTCAGCATCTCAACAGAAAAAAAAATAATCTCATCTTCGAGACTATGTCACATACCAGGACAGGTTTATGACAACAAATTAAAAAAATATTCTGCATTTCCTGTTTTTTGAGAACTAGTGAAGAGAAGCACACAGCTCTGAACTGCAGCTTGTGGTAAGGCCCTGTGCATGTTATGTTGAATACCAACTTACTGCCAAAGGGACTCTATGTTCACATTTCTACAAAACCTTTTCTTCTAAAAAATCCCAAGTGATACTCAAGGTCACCCAACCAAGGCAATGATTAAGCACAGCCATATGGTGGATTACAAGAGACAGCACGAACAGTAGCACTGAACAGGAAGGGAGGAAGGCTGCTATAGCTAAATGAAACCCTA